TATGTAGATAATGGTATTGTATCAATGTTAATTGCATAATTTTTTATAAGAGCGCTTTACTTGGACTTGGGGTTGTATGTAGCTCAGTGGTAGAGTGCTTGTTTAGCACATGTGAGGCACTGGGTTCCAACCTCAGCATCACATATAAATAAATAAATAAATAAATAAATAAATAAAATGAAGGTGTTTTAAAAAAGAGCTGGGCATGGTGGCACATGCCTCTAATTCCAGCAGCTCCGGCGCCTGAGGCAGGAAGATTGTGAGTTCAAAGCCAGCCTCAGCAAAAGCAAGGTGCTAAGCAATTCAGTGAGACCCTGTCTCTAAATAAAATAAAAAATAGGGCTGGGGATGTGGCTCAGTGGTTGAGTGCCCCTGAGTTCAACCCTGGGTACCCCCACTTCCCAAAAAAGAGTGCTATACTTTTGTAGGAAAATATCCTTGTTTTTAGGGAATACATATTGAAAATTATTTCAGGGTAAGAGGCATCATGTCTATAAATTATTTAGAAGTATTTTGGGAAAAATGACATTTATACCAAGAAAAATGATAAAGTATGATAACATGTTGGCTTTTGGGGAATCTGAGTAAATGGTGTCCAGTAATTCTCTGTATTATTTTTGCAGCTTTTCTGTATGTATAAATAAAAATTTAAAAATAATTTGGTGAAATGAGGAGAGGACCAAACATCTCTGCCTCCTATCCCAGGAAGTCAGGCATTAAGTCCATGGTGAGGTATTTGCCTGTGGAAACTTAATGCAAGGACTTCTGGGGCAGATTTTCAGGAACCACGGCTGTTTTGAGGTCTGGCAACCAGTGTGACCCAGAATTGGATTCTCTTCTTGGCTCCTTTACCCTCTCCTCTCCTCCCAAGAGCTGACTTCTATTATGGATTTGGTGTGTCACCAGACCATGTTTTTCTACTTTTTATCTAGATACATGTTTCTGTAAATTCACTGGAATAATGAACTCTTAAGACTGAGAAGGGCCCTGCCCGGTTGGTGCATGCCTGTAATCCCAGTGGCTCTTATAATCCCAGTGGCTCTGGAGATAAGGCAGGAAGATCGCAAGTTCAAAGCCAGCCTCAGCAATTTAGCAAGACCCTGTCTCAAAATAAAAATAAAAAGAATTGTAATGTGGCTCAGGGGTTAAGTGCCCCTGGGTTCAAGCCCAGATTAAAAAAACAAAAAATGACTGAGGAAGGAGGAAAATGATCTAGATTAAGCCAAGGAATGTAATTAAAAAAAAAAAAAAAAAACTCTCACTAGGGATGTTTGCAAGAATTAGGAACCTCCCTGGAAATGAGAACAGATGCCACAGAAAATGATTTACATAATTAAAAGAAACATTGTACATTTTTTTATGTTTGGCTAAAGGAGGTCTGATTTATATGTGTTGCTGACTTAACTGTCCTAGGGGGCCAGAAAAATATGACCTCTATCCCAACTCATTTTATTTGTTATTGCCTAAGGGAAGGGAAGCACTTCCCAGCTGTAGAGAGACGGTAGCTTGGCAACCATATTTGTAAAAGAAAGGAAAATGTAGGGGTGTGACCCTGACAGCAACAAAACCGTGAAGGTCCCTTTGCTGATGCAATACTGCTCTTAGTAGAGAGTTAATTCTTTCTTTTTTTTTTTTTTGTGGTGCTGGGGATTGAACCCAGGGCCTTGTGCATAGAAGACAAGCACTCTACCAACTGAGCTAAATCCCCAGCCCATAGAAAGGTAATTCTAAGGAAACAAGGTTGTTTTTAAATATGTAGTATGCATTCACATACTTGGGCATTTGTTTTCTTTTATGCTAGCCTTAAGAAAACAAACTTAGTGGAAATTAAACAAAGTTTAATAAAAACAAGTGCATGTGGTCACCCATGCCGAAAAGAAGATAAAAAGGAAATTGCCCACTCTTGCAATTCCATTACTTCTAACATTGTGCATTCCATCCAGCAACATAAACTGTATTATAACTGGCAAAAGAAGACTCTATATCCTACTAGACTATTTTAAAAAGGAGGAATAAAAATAGATAAATGCATTTAATAAACTGACTCAGCCATTCCTTGAAGCAAATGTTTAGTACTTCTGGGTTATGTGAAAAAATTTTAAAGAAAACTGACCTCGGCAATTATGTTTGGACTAGATTTCTGCTTAGAGGGTAAGAGGGAAACAAAGGAGGAATGAAATTAGAAAGATTAAAATGATCCTACCTGGATCCCTACTGGCTAGGTATGGCCACTCGCTCTCATAAAATAAAAATGGAAAAAGGAAAAGTGAATTTTGTGCATTTTTTAAAAAAAGATTTTTAAATTGTAGATGTTCACGGTACGTTTATGTTGTTTATTTAGTTTTTTTATGTGGTACTGGGGATCGAACTCAGTGCCTTAAGCGTGATAGGCAAGCACTTTACCACTGATCTACAACCCCAACCCCCCAATTTTTTGCATTTTGATGAAACTGGGGAAAAACAGCTAGATTGCTTCTCCTGCCTGCCCCACAGAAGCATTTACCATTTATAAAAGCAAAAGCCAGGTGATATACATATGTAGATTTGCTTGGCTAAAGAGGGGACAAAATGGGAACAAAAGGCAGGAAATATCCATATGCAGATTTAGTTAGCCCATACCACACAGGCTGGGGCAGGGGATAGTCTCCATTCCCAGATTCTCTGTCAGGCCAGGAAGTTGAGGGAAGCCCCTTAGCTTCCACTTGAGTTTAGAGGGGAGCTCCCAAGTTCAGTCCTTTTCAAAATGAGTTTTTATTTGGTATTGAAACACACAGAACTTCCTCTTGCTGAAAGTGGAGATCTTTTCAAAGCTGACTTTGAATAAAACCTATTTGCCTACGAATTTGACTCTGGAGCAGCAAGTGTTGTAGCCTAGTCTTTTCCTCTTAGAGCCAGGATCAGAGCCGCCAGGTAGCAGGTTGAGCAATTAACAGCTTTGAGGTTGTGTCAAATGTGGAAAGAGTTTTTTAATACCTTGAAACCTTGAAGAGGGGATTGGTTATGTAGATTTTGACATGTCCTTACAGTGCAATGCTATACAGCCTTTCCTAAGGATGAATTATTGCTCTGTGTTTTGACAAGGAAAGGATTTCAAAACAGAACATTTTGGTCTGGTGCACGCCTGTGATCCCAGCAATTCAGGAGGCTGAGGCAGGAGGGATCTCAAGTTCAAAGTCAGCCTCGGCAATTTAAGGAGGCACTGAACAACTCAGTGAGAACTTGTCTCTAGATAAAATATTTTAAAAGGGCTGGGGATGTGGCTCAGTGATTAAGCATCCTTGGGTTTAATGCCTGGCACCCCTGCCCCCCATCCCTCAAAAAAAAAAAAAAAACAGAACTTTTTGTTCTCTAATTTTTAAGTCATTATCATACAGTGCATAAAAGGAAACAAACAAAACTTTAAGTACAAATACCAAATTGCTAACAATATTTATGTCAGTGTAGGCATGATGATGTAGAAAGATTTCCAGTTTAGATGGTCTATGCCTTCATATTCTTAAAATAATGTGTTACTTTTTTTATAATCTAAAAAAATAAAGTCATTTGCATTTTGAAAAGAAAATCTCAAGAATTTCCAGTGGTTTTTTTTTTTTTTTTAAACAAAGCAAACAGAAGAATGGGGTTTTGTTGTACAGTATAATGATAAATCAGGCTTAATAGGAATGGGAAGCTTGGCATCCATTAGCAGGCAGATCGGAGTGCGCTACAGAGTCTGGTGAGGGCTTTCAGCATCTGCCACGGACCTCTCTCCCCAGAGCTGTGCAACTTGAGCACCGCTGGCGGGGCCTTGTTCATTTTTATATCTGCCAATTGTGTTTGGCCAACCTTCAGATTTTCTCAAGACTCCATTGTGTTCAATGTTATCAGTTCTGGCGTTTCTTTTGGGCACTCTTGTGTGTTTGAACCCACCAACCATCACAACCATGTCCTTAGAGTGTATTTTATTCTCCTTATCCTTCTGTGCCTGCTTTTGTCTATTCAGTCACTGTGTCTTTGACTCCTGGGCCCTTCCTTCCCACCATGAACTCTGCCCTATATTTCATTTCCAGATTGTCTTTTCTGCTGAAGGCACAAGGAATGACATCCTCACTCCTTTTTGAGTTTGCCATTTCTAGGTTCACGTCTCTCCAAGCAAACACTGCAAATATTCATGAAAATCAAGTGCTGGGGCCAAGAGTGCAAATGTTAGGTTGTGGCTGGATATGAGCTCTTGGCCCCTCAGTCATGGTAGGAATCTCATAGATACTATGTATCCTTTTCCCAGAAAAATGCACACTTTTGAAAAATTGTATGGACAATTCCAGGGATTTCACAAGCCATCTGAAGCCCATTAGTCCCCCAGAGATTTTTGTATCCTTACATCCTTGCAACTGATGCATGTTATACTTTAGAATAGATAAGAAAAAATGAGCCCACTGAAAACTAGAATTCAACTAAGTAATAAAAAAAACAGGGCTGGGGTTGTGGCTCAGTGGGAGAGCGCTTGCCTAGCATGTGTGAGGCCCTGGGTTCAACCCTCAGCACCACATAAAAATAAATAAATAAAATGAAGATATTGTGCCCAACTACAACTAAAAACTAAAATATTTAAAAAAAAATCTTTATAGCATTATTTACACTTCAGGCTACCTGGGGACATAGCAAACCGAAGATAAAAGACAAATTGGAGTCTTGCAGTTAATAGAACTAGAAGGAACAACTTGTTTGTTAATATGACTTTTGGCATATAGATATACAGCCACATGAATTGTGCATTTTCTACTTTGGGTGGCTCTGAAACATTGGGAGTGAAGTCATTTAGGTTTAGAAGCACGTAGTGTGCACGCATGTGTGTGTAAAAAAGTGCACATATGTGAGTATGTATTTTAATCAGCTCACAGAACTAGAATCTCAAATACATGTCTAAAAGAAAAGAAAGGATTTTATCTTCAGATTTTTCTTTTGTCTTTCCTTTTGGCATTATGGACACTAACATTTTAATGTTGCTGGTCCTTTTTTAGGGTGGACGAGTTTCATTTATACCATATCTGGAGATGTGTATATTGGTAAGTTATAAGTATATCATTTTGGCTTCAACTGCAACTTAATTTAAACCACTAAAGGGATAAATGGTAGATTGAAACTATTTTGTATAATCAAATACACCAGCCCTCTCTACATTCACGGCAGGGTGCTCACAGTTCCAGAATTTTCAATGAGGGAGAATATGAATACCATTCATGACATAGCCATTTTCTGTGGTCTCTGTGCAGACAAGAGGTCCAAGCATGATTATGTGTGTTATCATCTCACTAAGAAGAGGTTGGCAACCTCCATACTATAAGGAGATGCAGCTATAATACACTCCCCTAGGAGCAGGAATCTATCCCCTCGGAGGTGAAAGGAGGTGAATTAGCAGTCCCAGGTGCCTCTGAAGTATCTCAAAGTGAGTTTTTTCCTATTCTAAGGGTTGTGTATTGTATAGCTTGTTGAGTCTTTTAAAAAAGGGACATTTGAGAACTAATTAACTCTCATTTTTTTACATGAGGAATGTGAAATCTAAAGGAAGTTATTTAACTTGCCAAGGGTACATTGGTAGATCTGGGACCAGAACCAAGATAGGAAATGGTTGTAGCAGATGCTGTTAGTGCCGTACCCATAGCCCTGGGGCTGTACATCCTCAGTACCTACTGATCAACTTCCAGTGGCCAGTATCTATGCCACTTTCTCTCAAACCCTGGAAGGCTGCTCTGCCCCGGACAGGCAGGTTGAAAGTGCTAGAGAATGAATATTCTGAAAGTTACCTGGATCCTCAGGTAGAATAACCCAGAAGCCTTTGTGAGAGACCTTTTCCTAAAGTTTCCTGGTGGGAGTGTTCCCCATGACTCGCCCTTCATTGTCTGCCTTCTGTTCCTGTCTAACCCTTCTGGACTGTTGTTCCCTGGAATCAAATAAACTTATTGCACCAGAATATTCATCTTTAGCTGTGCTTTTGGGAAAACCCCAAAGAGAATCAAGTTCTCATTTTCTGCTTCTCATCCCTGTGAACACTGATGGCTGGGGAGGATCCCAAGGTGCAGGCCACGAATCCCCATTTCTGAGACCCTCCTTTCCACCTGCTTCCTGCAGATGCCCATAATGAACTTCCAGGGGCCCTAACATGACCACTTCTTTGGGAATACACTGTAAGCTCCAGGATAGCTGGCTCGCTAACATCATCTGCTCAGAGCTAGAAGGCTACACTCAGAGGTAGTTTAAAGCATTCTTTTTTTCTTGGTCCCAAGGATTGAACCTAGTAGTGCTTAACCACTGAGCCATATTCCCAGCCCTTTTTAATTTTTTTTTTTTTTTTTTTTTTTTAATTTTGAGACACAGCCTTGCTAAGTTGCTGAGGCTGGGAATGTGAACTCATGATAATCCTGCCTTAGCCTTCCTTTTTTTGGTATTGGAGATTTAACTCAGAAGTACTTGACCCCTGATCCACATCCCCAGCCATATTTTGTATTTTATTTACAGATCAGGTCTCACTGAATTGCTTAGCACCTTGCCTTTGCTGAGGCTGGCTTTGAACTTGCGATCCTCCTGTCTCAGCCTCCTAAGCCGCTGGGACACAAGTGTGTGCCACCATGCTTGCCTAAGCCGTGCTTTATATTTTCCCAAAAGAGTGCTCAATTATCTACAAGTTTTCTTCTGGAAATAACAGTATTTTGAACTTATTCCTAATATGGTGTAAGTGGACTTGATTCCTCTTTCACTGAATAGCAGTTCAATTAAGGGTCAGAAGCAAAATTCATTTATTTTAGCATTCAAGAAAGTATGAAAATAATCTAGTATTGTATATAAATCCCTGAGCACATATATTAAGCTATATTAACCACCTGGAAGAGATGAAATATCATTTATTTTTATAATCTTCTGAGTATCCTGATAATTCCATAATACTTTGTGAAAATGTAAAAAAAATAAAATGGAAGTAGTACCCTTGATTTATGATTTCAAGACCAAGATTATTATCTGCATAAATGGAACATAATAAAGAAAGCACATGAATTCTAAGGTGGATTCCAGAAATATTTATGTGGAATAAGAAAAAGCAGGAGAAAGCGAACTTTCTATAAAGGACCAGACAATAAATACTTTCATCTCTGTGAGCTACAAAGTAGTCTCAGTTGTGACTACTCAACCCTACCAGCAGGCACAAAAGCAGCCATAGGCAATAACACATACAAATATATACAATTAAATTTTATGTGAAATTTGTGTATTTTTCATATGTCATCAAATACCATTTTTAAATTTCTTCCAACCATTTAAAAAAGTAAAGACCTTTCCTAGCCTATTGGCTCTACAATTTATTTTGGTTTTAATGTCATTATGAAGGATAAAGGGGAGGAAAAATTAACAAGTAATCTTCAAAATCTATTTTAATCCATTGTTACAGTCTTGTTTCCTGAGAGACCTTTAGTTCCAGAAGTTAATGCATGAAAAGCTCTGTACTTCTCAGGGTGAGAGTGCCACTGATTTTTCTTATTGTTTTTTTCTTATTTTTAAAAATTGTCTTATTTTATCCACTTATTTTCCTTGAGGTGAGGCAGGATTTTTCTGAGTCGTCTCTGATCACTGGCCTGATTCCCATTTGTGACCACGGGCCACAAGTGCAAAACATCTGGCAAGAAATAGGGTTGTGTGGCCAGGTGCAGTGGTGTATACCTGTAATCCCAGTGGTTTGGAATCCTGACACAGGAGGATCATGAGTTCAAAGCCAGCCTCAGCAAAAGCAAGGCCCTAAGCAAATCAATGAGACTTTGTCTCTAAATAAAATACAAAATAGGGCTGGGGGTGCTGGGGTTGTAGCTCAGTGGCAGAGCGCTTGCCTTGCACAGGTGAGGCACTGGGTTTGATCCTCAGCACCACATAAAAATAAACAAACAAAATAAAGATATTGTGTCCATGTATAACTAAAAAAAATATTGAAAAAAATAGGGCTGAGGATGTGGTTCAGCGGTCAAGTGCCCCTGAGTTCAATCCTGGTACTCCCCCCCCCC